AGTGAAAGGGGCCAGTATGCGGAGCATCTTTTTTTGAACTCACAGGGGCTTGTGTTTGCCAGACTGAAGAGGTAAGTTTGCCTCCGCCAGGGAAGGGAGCAATTTCCTTACTGTATTTGGCAACATATAGAGAATGCATTGTGTTTGCGTGACCTTAACCAGTTTAGCAGCTGCAACATTTTGTATCGCTTCATGCAGGCTGGACTGCGAACCTAGAGGGTATAAAGTAGGGAGAAAGTTATTGCACATTTAGAGGCTGCAAGAATCTTCCCAATGAAAGTCTGCAGAACTTAAAGCCAGGCAGTGTTGTTTCTGGTGTTACCAGTAACCATGTGACCATGACCGAGTCCCTCCTGGAGCATGTTTTCTCTTATGTAAGCCAGAGATTATTCTAGAAATCCTGACTACCTCACCGTGAAATCAAAGGAGAAATCATATTTAGAAAATAGTAGCCATCCTAAACTGTGCACATAACTACATGCCCAGGTATTGGTCTAACACCACATTTAATTCTTACATTAACCATCTGTTTTACATATTTTTATTATCCTCGTTTTTTACATATGAGAAAATGGAATAATAGATAAGTTTTACATCACTTGTTCACAATCACAAAGCAAGCAACAGGTAGAGCAAGGATATCTCCCTGGGGAGTCTGACCCTGGACGGCCTGTGATAGCCACTATTGTTCCTCGGACCTAGGAGGTGGCGCAAGGAGCTGTCATTCTTCCTCTAGGAAGAGGCAAGTGGGGGAGCTTTGCTCTCACATCTAATCACCCTAAGAAGTCCTGATTATGTCTGCAAAATATATCACGTCTCCTCAGCCAACAAGAAAACACTTCACTCACAGTTCCTTTTAGCAACCCCATAGTTTTCTACTCCATGGAAGAGGTGGTGGTGGCTGATTCAAGAAATCAAAGGAAATAAAAATCAAGCTAAGTGTCTAGAGTTTGGTAGGAGGTAGAGTTTGAAGGAAGGTGTTCGGGAAGAGAGGAACCTTGCAGGTGGAGGCATGAGCGGCCCCAGCCACCAGCATGGCTCCCACATCCCTTACATACTCTGGATCTGCAGGTGTTGTTTCCAGTTGATGACGTCTGACGTGCCAAGGAATTCTTGACAGTTCTGGGGATCCTTAGAATAGATTTGGTAGCTGTTGGTATAGTGATCAAAGTCATCTGTCATCTCCTGTTTGGTTGGGTAATGTGGAATAAACAAGATTGATTATGCCCAGTGATTGGAACACTTGAGCATCATACTTCATAGTACTGTGCTATTTTACAAACTTGAATATTGATCTTTTTCTTGATGTTCTATCGTTCTTCTCGAATCCGTTGCATCACAAGAGCAAGACAGGGATTTAATCAGCTCTTCAATTTATGATTGGAAAACTTGCTAAATTAGATATTTCTGTGTTGCATTATAACTTCAAATCAACCAAACATGCACCAATTTGGAAAGTGTTATTCTATAGTCTGTCATCCTCAGGAGAAAGAAAGTATTATTGTCAAAGGCAAGCTTCCACTGCAAGAATAAGTCTTATTCTATTTCAAAGAGTCTCAGAACAAATAGATTATGACTATGGCAATAGAGCAATTAACACAGGTAATAATAGGTTAAACAGAAAATAAACGAGTGCCCCGAAGCACATGCTAGCCAGCAGTGACACCAGAGCTTAGGATGTTGGTGTCTGGGAAAGCTGAAGTCCAGGGAGGGGCAGTGATGTGCAGAGCAGGTGGCCCCTGAGTGACAGCCCAGTGAAGTCTGAAGGCCCCTGCAGTGGGGCAAAGGGGCTCCGTGTGGCATCCTGGGAAGAGCCCACAGCGTGAACTAGAAGATCTAGACTCAAGCCCCAGTTATGCCCTCAGCCATCTACATGACCTGAACAAGCTATTTCATCAGCTGAGCTGGTTTTCTGTCAGGAAAATGGGGATGATGTCTTTTACCTTGTGTTTCTCACTGGGTGGCCAAGAGAATCAGATGAGATGATACATGTGGAGGTGGTTTTTCTCAGGTGTAATGTGCCTTAGGGTGTCAATAAAGCTTTTCCAGGCACATGAACACAGAGGGCCAGAGGACTGAGTGTCTCCAGATGAAATCCCTACCATAGGTTTTTAATTTTGTTCAGTGTTAGGTTGGACATCAGTAGGGGAAAATACATAATTTTTTTACATTCTCTTAATTGGAAACTTTTGCTCTGTGAAATGAATTCATAAATGTGGATTTATTAAGCATCTACCATGTGTTCTGGCTATTGAGGATCTTTCTCTGTGAACAACAGGAGGGTCTCTGATCTTATGGAGTTTGAGATATTGGAGGGGAGGATCCAACAGCAAAAAGGTCAGTAAATACACAAATAAGCTGATTTCAAATAATAGTTAAGTGCAATAAAAGGAACTGAAATTGGATTTGTGGTGAAGAATTATGGGGTATGGTTTTGGGGTGCGCTGAGAAGAACTCTCTAAGAAAACAGTATTTGAAAGTTTGAATGGCAAGGAGGAGGCAAGTATGTGAAGGTCAGAGGCAAAGAGCAAGTGCAATGGCCCAAAGGCATGGGGATCAAGTTGCAGAAAGAAGCCCAGAGCTGCTGGTGGGAGTTAGTTAGCAGGGGGGTAAGATGAAGTCTAAGAGGTAATGTAGGCCAGGTCTTATAGGCCCTTGAAGGTCCATAAAGGGGTTAAACTTTTAGTCAAGGTGAGTTTAGAAATGTCAATGGCATTTAGGTGGGTAAACTGACCATAATCCGTGTTACATACCAAAAGGATCATTGTGAAAATGGATTACAGGGGGGCAAGAGTGAATGGAGGGAGAGGAGCTGGGAGGCTACTTTTCAGAAGTGAAAGGGGCCAGTATGCGGAGCATCTTTTTTTGAACTCACAGGGGCTTGTGTTTGCCAGACTGAAGAGGTAAGTTTGCCTCCGCCAGGGAAGGGAGCAATTTCCTTACTGTATTTGGCAACATATAGAGAATGCATTGTGTTTGCGTGACCTTAACCAGTTTAGCAGCTGCAACATTTTGTATCGCTTCATGCAGGCTGGACTGCGAACCTAGAGGGTATAAAGTAGGGAGAAAGTTATTGCACATTTAGAGGCTGCAAGAATCTTCCCAATGAAAGTCTGCAGAACTTAAAGCCAGGCAGTGTTGTTTCTGGTGTTACCAGTAACCATGTGACCATGACCGAGTCCCTCCTGGAGCATGTTTTCTCTTATGTAAGCCAGAGATTATTCTAGAAATCCTGACTACCTCACCGTGAAATCAAAGGAGAAATCATATTTAGAAAATAGTAGCCATCCTAAACTGTGCACATAACTACATGCCCAGGTATTGGTCTAACACCACATTTAATTCTTACATTAACCATCTGTTTTACATATTTTTATTATCCTCGTTTTTTACATATGAGAAAATGGAATAATAGATAAGTTTTACATCACTTGTTCACAATCACAAAGCAAGCAACAGGTAGAGCAAGGATATCTCCCTGGGGAGTCTGACCCTGGACGGCCTGTGACAGCCACTATTGTTCCTCGAACCTAGGAGGTGGCGCAAGGAGCTGTCATTCTTCCTCTAGGAAGAGGCAAGTGGGGGAGCTTTGCTCTCACATCTAATCACCCTAAGAAGTCCTGATTATGTCTGCAAAATATATCACGTCTCCTCAGCCAACAAGAAAACACTTCACTCACAGTTCCTTTTAGCAACCCCATAGTTTTCTACTCCATGGAAGAGGTGGTGGTGGCTGATTCAAGAAATCAAAGGAAATAAAAATCAAGCTAAGTGTCTAGAGTTTGGTAGGAGGTAGAGTTTGAAGGAAGGTGTTCGGGAAGAGAGGAACCTTGCAGGTGGAGGCATGAGCGGCCCCAGCCACCAGCATGGCTCCCACATCCCTTACATACTCTGGATCTGCAGGTGTTGTTTCCAGTTGATGACGTCTGACGTGCCAAGGAATTCTTGACAGTTCTGGGGATCCTTAGAATAGATTTGGTAGCTGTTGGTATAGTGATCAAAGTCATCTGTCATCTCCTGTTTGGTTGGGTAATGTGGAATAAACAAGATTGATTATGCCCAGTGATTGGAACACTTGAGCATCATACTTCATAGTACTGTGCTATTTTACAAACTTGAATATTGATCTTTTTCTTGATGTTCTATCGTTCTTCTCGAATCCGTTGCATCACAAGAGCAAGACAGGGATTTAATCAGCTCTTCAATTTATGATTGGAAAACTTGCTAAATTAGATATTTCTGTGTTGCATTATAACTTCAAATCAACCAAACATGCACCAATTTGGAAAGTGTTATTCTATAGTCTGTCATCCTCAGGAGAAAGAAAGTATTATTGTCAAAGGCAAGCTTCCACTGCAAGAATAAGTCTTATTCTATTTCAAAGAGTCTCAGAACAAATAGATTATGACTATGGCAATAGAGCAATTAACACAGGTAAACTTATATTAGAATTTTCACCTATATAGGATAAATCTATACAAAATGAAGACACATTGTGTCTTTAAAAAGTACACCACAATGCACTATTGTTTTAAGAGATAATTTACATTCCCAACTAAGTTGAAGCACAAAATTTATTCAAAAACATCTTCTCAAAGTCAACAAATAAGAGATGGGATTATTTAAAGATGAAGGAGTCAGAGAACAACTAAGAACAATGTAGAAGAGCTAGAAAATGTGGCACAGAAATGTACTCATAGCTCAGCATTATTATTGTCTGTTGTGAAAATCATATTAAGAAAGCAATTATTCCACTTTTGGGGTTGTTTTTATTGAAGTATAGTTGATATACAGTATTATGTTGGTTTCAAGTACACAACACAGTGAGTGGTTCATCAGTTACCCACATTATTAAATCCTCACCCCAACTAGTATATTACTATCTGTTGACACAGAAAGATGTTACAGAACCATTGAGTATATTCTCTAGGCTGTCCTTCATCCCCATGACTAATTTATATTATGACTGAGGTTTTGTGCCTTTTTATCCCCTTCACCTATTTCACCCACCCACCCCAACCTCTTCTTGATGGTAACCCCCAGTCACTTCTCAGTGTCTGTGGGTCTATTGCTGTTTTGTTCATTTTGTTTTGTTTCATTTTTAGATTACATTCATAAGTGAAATCATATGGTATTTGTCTTTCTCCACCTGGCTTGTTGCACTTACCATAGTACCCTCTAGGTCCATCCATGTTGCTGGAATAATTTATTTAAATATCTTCATTTTTGTATTCTGTTTAATTTGGTAGTTTTTAAAAAAAATTATATATTTAATTTTATTTGTAAATATTTTATGTTAAGGTGCTATATGGTTACTATTTTTGCATGCATAAATTTTTACTTTATGTTTTCCAGTGTGCGTATAACATATTTGTACTTGGAATTGTTTTTGGAAACCACCTAGTTTGAGTGATTTTTAAAGGTCTGGTATTGAAGATATATTCCCAAATAAGGCATTGCAATTTGTTCTTTATATTTGCCTAACATTCCTCATATTTACCTCTACGTATTCTTAGGTTTTAGTTCCTCTGTTTAGAATGCATCCTCTGTTCTTGTCAGCATGTCAAAAATTTGTTTATCTTCAAAAATCCAGTTTTGGGAAAATGTCTGCCATGAAGGCTGTCTGATCCTCTCTCTGTATCCCCTGACATCTGTAGTTTGATCATGTCTTGGCCAGTGTCACTTCTGTATCTTGTATGTTTTTGTACATTTTTATACCATGTTGTGGTTTATTTGCTTATCTTTTTTTTCCCTCCAAGCTGTGAGCTTCTTGAGGACAGGGACTTGGTCACCCTCACTGTGATTCATTTCTATATTCCCTGGGTCTACCACATAGCAAGTAAGAGCCCAGAAGTGTCTTCATTCTACACCTGGCACCTTACCTGCTCCTGAGGGCGGATAACCACTGTACTGAAATCAGGCCACTTGTCCACCAGGGCTTTTACCTTGAAGGGGTTTCCCTGGTTCATGTGGAAGACGGTCCCATAAACCTGCAGCATCCAGAGAAAGTGAGAGGGTCATTGTTAGTAAGGGATGGGAAAGAGCCTTGCTTGGTCAGGGTAAGGACTATTTCAATGAAACAAAATTTTATGGTGGAAAAGGGACAAACAGGGCATCTAGGCCAAATAGTTCTCACATTCTACTTTATTATTCCAAATGGAGAGAGATTTTTGGGTCAAACCATACCATGCAAATATTATATGAATATACTTAAATTTCCAGATAAATAAAATGAATAAACTAAAAGCCATCTACTATCACATTGTAGAAGTTAGTATTATATCTTTCCATTTTGTTTCACTTGTTTATGTA